TTTTCTCTCAGTAGAACCATACCAATGCTAGTCTGTAAAGTAACATTAAAAGAAAATAGAAGCAAAACAAATACAACAAAGTCTTTTAGAAGCTGAAACTTTTATATAAAATCAACATATGCTGAAATAATCAAGCTTTTTAAATCTGCTTTTTAAACTTCTCAGTAATTGTTTTTTCTTTATTTTGTTTTCTTTTTTTCTTCTTCTTTTTTTTTTTTTTTTTGGCCTTAATAATCTCAAGTCTAGGGGTACAACATTTTCTGAACCCTAAATTCCAGCTTCCCATAGTGGAGAGTTAAGTCACAGCCAATCTTCACCCTACTCCTAGTTCACTTAATGAAAAGGAAGAAAGCCAATATCACTTTGGTAGCCCAATTTATATTAAAGATAAGAATGTGTATCTACAAAGGCAGTGGTGGCATGGAATGAATATTGTAAACTAACTCAGTTTACATACCCTAGAACTTATCAGTGACACCATCATACAGTTATTCAGAATTATAGAATTATGATTCATGTAAATTCTTTGAATATTACATGTCGTAAAGGAAGCTTAAGTCAGCCTGACAACATTATCTTGATGGGTTACTACAGACTGATGTGTGGTCCAGATTGCAGGCCCATAACTTTTTCACAATGGGCTTCTGAAGAATTATTTGGGCTAAACTTCGATTTGTCCACAAGGCTTGTGGTACTCAGTATGGTAGCTACTAGCCACATTAAGCACTTTAAATGTGGTGAGTCCAAATTGAAATGTGCTATAAGTGTAAAATACATACCCCAGTTTGAAGACTATGCCAAAAAAATGCAAAATATATCATAAATAATTTTCATCTTGATTAAATGTGGAAATAATACATAGTATATATTGGGTTACATAAAGTGTATTATGATTAATTTTATCTGTTTCTTTTTACTTTTTTGTGGCTTCTAGAAAACTTAAAATTACATAAGTGGCTCACATTTCTGACTCAAATTATATTTCAATTGGAACAATGCTAGTCTAGACCGTGAGCTCCTTGAATACAGGGGCCATTCCTGTCTTGTTTTGCATGAAGTCCTAAGCACCTAATAGGAATGATCAATAAATGTGTTGAATACAATATTAGTGAATGACAAGCAGAGCATAATAATCAGTGTCCCCTCTCATCTGAACATTGCTGCAGACACCCTGAAAAACCTCTCCTATTCCTCTACTTTTTTATTCCAAACTGACCATTTTCCTTTTGTATTGTTTTACATCAATCAGATTTAGATTAATACTTCATTGTTTTCCACTTTCAGATATACGCTTCCTTACTCTAAGCTCTAGTCCCTTGAATCACTTGAAGTCTTCTTAATCTCCTCAATTAATTGCATTTTCTTCCTTAGGGTGATATGCTGGCTAGTCTCTCTTCAACTCAGCATCGTCCTTAGCCTCATCAAATGCGGAAACTACATTTCCCAGAATCCCCTTCCCTGTATGGTTCCAGATCGCAATCTGTTTATGAGTGTCACTCATTCAAGATTTAGAAGGCAAGGGCTGGCTGGTTAGTGCGGCTGGTTAGAGCGTGGTGTCCGAGGTCAAGGGACTGGATCCCCTTACCGACCCTACTGCCAAAAAAATAAAATACAAGGAAAAAGATTTAGAAGGCAGAAGAGGAGGAAACCATTGTCTCCACAGTCAGTTACAAAAAGACGTATGGGCAGATGGTGGTTCAAAGCTGCCTCCAGATGAATTTCTTGAGGAGCTCCATTTGTTTTGCTGACTGAGATGGCTGGTGCAGGGGTGGACACACTATGAAGCAACTGAAGTTTAAACTTCCTGTCTTGCATGGATCCTTTCTAAGATTCTGAGAGTGGCCCTAGCAATTTTATATTCATAATTTTATTTATTTTTTTCTTAAAGAGAACTCTCTAAACGTGTTAGCTTTAAGCATCACAAAACCTGGTTGTAGCCCTGAATGGCAGAGAACTTCCCAGAGATCTCGTGACTCCATTGGCTTCGTGAGAACTGAAGACCACTGGCTTTGGGTTTGGAGTCTGAGATCTTCAGTGGAGCCTCTCTAACTCTCCCTCTGCACACTCCACCCCAGTCCTTCCCACACTTGTGGAAGCTTTAACTTACTTTATACTAGAAACAGAGTAGCTTTTGTTTTCATGACCAAACCAGTTATTATTTTAAAATGATTGCTATCAGCAATTATATTTTTTTGTTCCACTTAATCTCAAATTTAAGAAATAAAATCTTCTTACAATAGAAATGATAATGAAAAAAATATTTAACATCACATCAAAAAAACCTTAGAGCAAGTTCTATCTTGATCAACATTGGGTACTCATAACGTAGCACTTTGTCTGGCACATTGTGTTTGCTTAGTAAATATGTGAGTGAGTGCAAGAATTAATGAGTGAGTGCAGGAATGGATCAATTTATGTGCATCTGTATCCAAGCTGCTTCCTTGTTAGATTAGTAAAACAACATAGATCATATTTGTTCCAATTAATTCTCTCTAGATTTAGCATAGTTCCAAGAACTCCCAGCTGCCCACAGCTTTTTTTTGGATGAAAATGACGCGTAGTTTTGGGAGCCATTCCACCACAAATTCTAGGAAATCCCAAAGTGCACCTGTAATTATTTTGGGGTTTTCCAGAGGATGGAGACTACACCTGTTAGTTATGAATTATTTTCCAAGGGTAAGTATATTTTTTGTAAAAGGCTTGACATTGGATCACTTTGAAGAATTCAACTCTTTTCATTTTTTTCTTGCAATCCAATTCTGAATGGTAAACAGCAATTAAATTGTTCTCTTGGATAAGAAAGTCAATGACCAGTCCTCATCAGAATAAATTATGCTTATAATTTAATTAAGACAAAAATCTTTAAAATTAAGAAATAATTTAATTATGCTTAGAATTAGACCAGCATTTTTTAAGCATCTACATTTAAATAACATTACCATATGCTCCATATTGAAATCAAACTAAAATATGAATCTAACATTTAAGAGTTTGTAATTTTTAAAATATAGATGAATTACATGGTATATGAGTCAGTTTTCTGTCCCTCACAACAGAATACCTGAAACTGGGTAATGTATAGAGAATAGAATTTATTTCTTACAGTTTTGGAGGCTAGGATGGCCAAGGGCCAGGGGGCACATCTGATGAGGGCCTTCTTCCTGGTGGGGACTCTGCAGTCTGGAGGCAGTGCAGAATACCACATGGAAAGGGTTGAGAAGAGCACGCTTCCATATGCTTTGTTCCTGTCCTTATAGAGCCCCCAGTCTGCTCCCTGATAGCCTGTTAAACCACTAACCGTGAATGGATTAATCCATTCAAGAGAACTCATCAATCACCTCGCAAAGGCTCCATCTTTCAAGTACCATAGTGTTACTTCCCACTCTCTGAAGACTGTTACAATGGGGATCAAGCTTCGAAGAGTTTTGGGGGGGCCATTGAAACCATAGCACATGGGAAAGCCCAACATTCGATATTTTACGAGTTTTTTCCTAAAACATTATTTTCTTTAATTTGTATTTATCATGGATGAAATAAAGTAAGAAAGCAGGATAGTTTCATAATAATTGATGAGTGTGTAAGTAACTAATCGAGTTTGGAAGAATTTGGTCTCTGCTCTATGCAAACCAGTGGAGACACAAAGCTTGATACTTGATAGCTACCCTCCTGAGGTGGGCAGAGAGCCACGAAACATAAATTCCAGGATAAAAAGCAGGGAAATGGTTTGGGGAAACAGGAAATGAAAAGAAGAGGAGCTTTTGTTGGACCAGACACTGGTTACATATGATAATCTCATCGACTTTTCATGGCACCCTCCTAAAGGAGGAAACCACCTCTTGGACATTGAATACCAGGCCCAAGTTAACTCCATTAATAACGAGCAGCGCCAGAACGTATACCTCGTCTGCCTAAACCCTGGAGGCCAAATGGTCCTGTCCTCAAGGCAGTCCTTGGGCACAGGCCACAGTCCCTTTGGCCATGTGTTTAGCATCATCCGGCCCATTCTCTAAAGGGCATGTGGGCTCTTCAAACTGGGAACCACGTTTATTGGATGATCTGTTTCTCGGTGCATTATCCTCAAGGCTAAGAGGGTTCAGTTGCTTAAGCTTTCACCAGCTGGCAGAGGCAATTGGAGCAGAAGGCAGGATGTGGATTTTTTCAGCTTTTTCCAAGTACATTATTAAATACGTGTTAACAGCTCATTACTTGTTGCCATCGAATTGGTGTAAATTCTGAATTTACATTAATTCTCTAAGTTCTGGACTTCAATTTCCTCAGCTGTGGGTTATAGATGAAATTATCAGTAAATTACCTTTCAGGAATAAGTTACCAAACAGTCTTAAGATTTTATTCTTCCAACTCCTAATTGCTGTACCAGGGGCAGTTTCTGGTGCACGATCAATGTTGAATGAGTAAACGTAAAGGATTCAAAAACAGAGGTTTGAGAGAGTGAAGCGCAGCGTAACGTCTCGTGTCAAGATGTCCCGAGGAAGGCGAGCCTCTCTGTCCCGCTCCAACAAAGGGACGGCAGCGCGGGCTCCCCGGCCAGGTCCAGGTCGCAGCGCGGCGCTCCCGTTTCCCCCTGCTGTCCTCGACCCCCCAAGCCGGCCCCGCGCTCCCGTCCCGGGCCGACGGCTGAGTCACAAAGGGCAGCGGGCGCCTTTAAATGCTAATGAGTCGACGCCCAACTCCGGGGCCCAGTTTCCCCACCCTCGTCCCTCCCCGGCCGGTGCGCCGCCTAGAAAAACTTGCGAGGGGCCATTTTTGGGGCAGTAAGATCGGGCGAGGAGCCCAAGAGCGAGCGCGCAGC